TTTTTCATTGTAATTGAAATTTGAAAATCCTGACATCTCGAAATATTATTAATTTTTGTCCCTAACAATTTCATGAGATTAAAAGTATATGAAACACTGACTTAGCTATTGCAATAGAAGTTCTAACATCTAAGTTCCCCCTTAAAAGCAACACTCAGTTTAGAATAGTTTAAGAGAGTTTGTTTCACTTTAATTCGTCTTCTCAGCTGACTGACGGCATCATAATTGTTGTAGAAATAGTTATAGAAATAGTTATAGAAATAGTCATAGTTTTATAATAAGGTATTTCAATAGTTGTTGAAATATTAAATGAATTAGCTACATAAATTGTTATAGAAATAGTTGTAGAAATAGTTATGGAAATTGTTATACATATAGTTATAGAAATAGTTATAGAAGCAGAAAAAACGAACAACAGGAAATTATGAGTGATAATTTCTTAATGGAGAGAGAAATTCAGACTTTGAGGTCCTAGGACATTTCTCAGACTTTCTTCTCAGACTTTCTTCTCAGACTTTCTTCTCAGACTTTCGTCTCAGACTTTCGTCTCAGACTTTCTTCTCAGACTTTCTTCTCAGACTTTCGTCTCAGACTTTCTTCTCAGACTTTCGTCTCAGACTTTCTTCTCAGACTTTCGTCTCAGACTTTCTTCTCAGACTTTCTTCTCAGACTTTCGTCTCAGACTTTCTTCTCAGACTTTCGTCTCAGACTTTCTTCTCAGACTTTCGTCTCAGACTTTCTTCTCAGACTTTCGTCTCAGACTTTCTTCTCAACTTTCGTCTCAGACTTTCTTCTCAGACTTTCGTCTCAGACTTTCTTCTCAGACTTTCGTCTCAGACTTTCTTCTCAGACTTTCGTCTCAGACTTTCGTCTCAGACTTTCTTCTCAGACTTTCGCAGTGAAACACTTATGAAGCATTTAATAGCTGTGAGAAAGTTGGTAAGTTTGTGAAGGTGCTGAAGCGGGGTGGTGAAGGTGACCTTGATTTCTTGGAGGTGAAGGTGACCTTAATGGCTGGGGGGTGAAGGTGGCCATGATTACTGGGAGGTGAAGCTGACCTTAATGGCTGGGTGGTGAAGGTGTCCCTGATTACTGGAGGGGGTATGAAATTGATCTAAATGGTTGAGATGGTGAAGATGACCTTAATAACTAGGCAGACCTTAAATGGTGGAGACAGGCCTCCATAAAAGTTATACACTCTGACGGGATGGCTGTTCAGCATCATGACTCTCGTGTCTAAGAAACCACGTAAATATGATTACCCTCTCCTCGCCTTCATTATACACATTATAAACATTACACGCATAAACATTATAGACATGATGCAAATTATACATATTATAGACATTATACGTATAAACAATATACACTTTATAGATATTATGCGCCTAAACATTATACACATCGTATTATAAACATTATACACATTATACTCATTATACACATTCCAAATACTACACACATACACATAAACATTATACCCATTATAAACATTCCAACTATACACATAAACATTATACTCATACACACTATAATCATTATATTCCCGCATATTTCGTGATAGTTTTGATATCCTGAAAAAAATACAAGTTAAATGACTTAGTGTTGCGAATAAGAAATTTTTTAAAGAACTTCAGAATGTGACCTGTTACCATTTATTTCTTATGCAACAAGATTTTTGGATCCGAGTTATTTAAAGGTATTTTAGAGTCTAGGGGAAATAATTTCAACTGGGAAACTCCATAGAATAATATTCAAATTTATTAAAGTATTTAAATACAATACTTTATCTTCCCTTTGTAGTTAATGTAACTTAATACTTTGTACAATAAATTTACCATATACATTTAGTTCAAAATCATGGAAATGTCACATTAATAAGGAAGTTTAATTATTCTTCCTGTAATTAAGTCTTCATTAACATTTACGTCTTTGTCTTAACAAGACTGTAAACTCAAAATACAAAAGGTACAAGATTTAACAAGACCTTTGAATCTGGCCGTAAAGTATCTCTATGGATTACTGAACTGACCAAGAATATAAATATCAAAAGAATCTTTCAGAGCATTGAGGAACAAAGTGAGTCAGCTTCAGAGTCCAATTCTCAAAACCATTCAAACTGTACACCGTAAGAGCCAATATACGATCAGTTGTCAGGGCTAGAGCTGGGAGCAGACTGACTACTTGCCAGTCTGTTGACGTGTCGTCAGGTTGGATCAGCTGACCCACACGTCAGCCAGCCGGACATAAACAACTGAACAATTCACCGGATGGTTCCGAGACTTAAACTCTATATACACAAGAAATCCTACCTAACAATAATAATAAAATAATAGTGATAATAATATCAAAATAGTGATAATAATAACATAGTGATAATAACAAAATAGTGATAATACCATGGTATTTTTCATATATTACCAGATAATAATATAACGCCGAAAGTCTCTATTTTAGCTATATACGGGGACTTTCACGCTATAATATTAAGTGATGAACATATTCTCTTACAATAGTTAAATAACACAGGATGACCAATTTCGAAGATATAACACTTAGGAAGAGTAAGTTTGAACTTAAAGTTACATTATTAGTTTTAATGTGAAAGGTTAAGCCTGTGTGGGTTATGCTGGCGCAAGTTAGGTTAGATTAAGTTAGCTTAGGTTAGATTAGGTTATGTTAGGTTAGGTTAATCACCCTCCTGACGGTGATTATGAGGTGAAGTGGTCTAGGTGGTGATGTGGAGGGAAGTAGGATCAATATGCTTTTTTAAGGAGAGGCACGACACAACTCCAGAGAATGAGGACTGGTGGAATTGATCGTTGGTGGTTACGAAGCTGGATCAGGAGCTGTGAGTCGACCCCTGCAACCACCTAAAGGTGAGTGCATGCACGGACACACACACACACACACACACACACAGTTAATAAAATAGAGGAATGAAGTGAGGGGTAGAGGTAAGAAAGGGAGGTGGTGGTGGTAGTGGTGGTGGTGGTGGTAGTGGTGGTGGTGGTGGTAGTGGTGGTGGTAGTGGTGGTGGTAGTGGTGGGAGTAGTTTTGGTAGTGGTGGTGGTGGAAGTGGTGGTGATGGTAGTGGTGGTGGTAGTGGTGGTGGTGATGCTGGTAGTGGTGGTGGTGGTGGTGTGGTGGTGGTGGTGGAGGTGGTGGTGGTAGTGGTGGTGGTAGTGATGGTGGTGGTGGTAGTGGTGGTAGTGGTGGTAGTGGTGGTGGTGGTGGTGGTGGTGGTAGTGGTGGTGGTGGTGGTGGTGGTGGTAGTGGTGGTGGTGGTGGTAGTGGTGGTGGTGGTGGTGGTGGTAGTGGGGTAGTGGTGGTGGTGGTGGTGGTAGTGGTGGTGGTAGTGGTTGGGAGTAGTTTTGGTAGTGGTGGTGGTGGAAGTGGTGGTGATGGTAGTGTGTGGTAGTGGTGGTAGTGATGCTGGTAGTGGTGGTGGTGGTGGTAGTGGTGGTAGTGGTGGAGTTGGTGGTGGTAGTGGTGGTGGTAGTGGTGGAGGTGGTGGTGGTAGTGGTGGTGGTAAGTGGGGTGGTGGTGTAGTGGTGTGTGGATGGAGGTGTGGTGGTTGGTGGTGGTGTGGTGAGTGGGGTGGTGGTGGTGGTAGTGGTGGTGGGTGTGGTAGTGGTGGTGGTAGTGGTGAGTGGTGGTAGTGGTGTGGTGGTAGTGGTGGTGTGGTGTGATAGTGGTGTGGTGGTGGTGGTAGTGGTAGTGGTGGTGGTAGTGGTGGTAGTGGGTGGTAGTGGTGGTAGTGGTGGTGGAGTAGTTGGTAGTGGATGGTGGTGGTGGTGCTAGTGGTGGTGGATGGTGTGATAGCGGTGGTGGTGGTGGTGTAGTGGTGGTGGTGGTGGTGGTAGGGTGGTGTGGTGGCAGTGGTGGTGGTAGTGGTGGTGGTGGTGGTGGTGGTGGTGGGGTGGTGGTAGGTGGTGTGTGGAGGTGGTGGTAGGTTGGTGGTGGTGGTGGTGGTGGTGGTGGTGGTAGTGGTGGTGGTTTTGGGTGTGGTAGTGGTGGTTGGGTTTTTGGTAGTGGTGGGTAGTGGTGGTGGTGGAAGTGAGATGGTGGTGTAGTGGTGGGGTAGTAGTGGTGGTGTGGTGGTGGAATGGTGGTGGTGGTAGTGGTGGGGGGTGGTAGTGGTGGGGTGGTAGTGGTGGTGGGGTAGTGGTGGTGGGGTTGAGTGGTGGGGTGGGTGTGGAGTGGTGGTGGTGGTGAGTGGTGGTGGTGTGTAGTGGTGGTGGATTGGTAGTGTGGTGTGGTGGTGGTGGTGGTAGTGGTGGTGGTGGTAGTGGTGGTGGTGGTAGGTGTTGGTGTGGTAGTGGTGGGTGGTGGTGGTGGTGGTAGTGGTGGTGGTGTAGTGGTGGTGGTGGTGGTGTAGTGGTGGTGGTGGTAGTGGTGGTGGTGGTTGGTGGTGTGGTGGTGTAGGTGGTGTTGTGGTGAGTGGAGTGGTGGTGGTGTGGTAGTTGGTAGGTGTGGTGGTAGTGGTGGTGGTGTGGTATGGTGGTGGTGGGTAGTGTGGTGGTGGTAGTGGGTGGTGGAGTGGTGGGGTGTGTTGGTAGTGGTGGTGGTGGTAGGTGGTGGTGGTGGTAGTGGTGGTGGTGGTGTAGTGGTGGGTGGTGGTGGTAGGTGGTGGTGGTGGTAGTGGTGGTGGTGGTGGTGGTATGGTGGTGGTTGGTAGTGGTGGTGGTGGTAGTGGGTGGTGGTGGTGGTAGTGGTGGTGGTGGTAGTGGTTGGTGGTGGTAGTGGTGGTGGTGGTAGTGGTGGTGGTGGTAGTGGGGTGGGTGGTGGTGGTAGTGGTGGTGGTGGTAGGAGTGGAGTTGGTGTGTGGTAGTGGTGGTGGTGGTAGTTGGTGTGGTGGTGTGGTTGGTGGTGGGTGGTGGTGTGGATGTGGTAGTGGTGGAGTGTGGTATGGGTGGTGTGGTGGAGTAGTGGTGGTGGTGGTAGTGGTGGTGGTGGTCACAGTGGTGGTGGAGAAGGTTCAGTCTGGCTGTGAGCCACACACGGTGAACATACGCTCTCTCCCTCTCTCCCTCTCTCCCTCTCTCACTCTCTCTACCCACTCCACCCCACACACACACTCACACCCACCCACACTCTCCCAGTCAGTGCTGAGAAGTGACTGGTGATGGGAGTAACTGACAACCACCTCAGATTAACTAACAATCTGTTGACCACAAACAAACCACTTTTTTGACGAAAGTTTGAGTAAGTTAGAAAAAATTAAGTGATACAATCTTCGTTAAACGTGTAAGCCATCTTTATTAAGCGTGTAAACAGTTTTAAGAGTGTAAACAATACAAAACGTGTAAACCATCTTTATTAAGCCTGTTAACCATCTTTTGTCAACGGGAATTTACAGACAGAATTACCTCTGATAACATTAACATAATATAACTACATGAATAAGTAAATCTAACATGTTAAATGGGAGTTTAATGTTGGATCGCCTCTTAATTACCTATCTATCAAGGCCGCCACTGATGGGAAGTGATCCAATTAACGCACCTGATGTCCCCTCTAACACACCTGATGTCCCCTCTAACACACCTGATTGTTGGTTAGGGAAGAGACAGCCAGCCAGGACACAGAGACGATCATGGCATAAAAATTGCTTTCCCAGTGACTGTGATGAAGAGTGTTGGTGATTGTTGAGGAGTGTTGGTGAGTGTTGGTGATTGTTGAGTGTTGGTGATTGTTGAGGAGTGTTGGTGAGCGTTGAGGAGTGTTGGTGATTTTTGAGGAGTGTTGGTGAGTGTTGAGTGTTGGTGATTACTGAGTATTGGTGATTGTTGAGTGTTGACTGTTGGTGATTACTGAGTATTGGTGATTTTTTGTGTTGGTGATTGTTAATGAGGAGTGTTGGTGATTGTTGAGGAGAGTTGATTATTCAGGAGTATTGGTGATTGTTGAGGAGTGTTGGTGATTGTTGAGAAGTGTTGATGATTGTTGAGAAGTGTTGGTGATTGTTGAGGAGTGTTGGTGATTGTTGAGGAGTGTTGGTGATTGTTGAGGAGTGTTGGTGATTGCTGAGGAGTGTTAGTGATTGTTAAGAAGTGTTGGTGATTGTTGATGAGGAGTGTTGGTGATTGTTGAGTGCTGGTGTTCGTGATTGTTAATGGAATTTTTTTTGTTTAAGCAATAAATGATATCTAAAAAATGCGTAATATATTGGTTGGATTTTTGTGTTCGTAAGATTTCCTAATATACAATCACAGCCACTTGATTGTGAAGAAAAATTACAATCACCATCTGATCGTGATTATTTACAATCCCTATTTATTGTGATGATTAACAATCACCACTTGATTGTCATTTACAAATCATCATGTGATTGTGATGATTTACAATCCCCATTTGCTTGTAGTGATTAAAAATCATCACCGGATTGTGACGATTTACAGTTACCTGATTGTGATTATTTACAATCACTTGATTGTGATGATTTACAATCCCCACTTGCTTGTAGTGATTAAAAATCATCGCCTGATTGTGATAATTCACAATCACCACCTGATTTTAATTATGAACATTCTCCTCCTAATTTCACCTTCCTATTCACTTTCTTCCATCCTCCCAATTTATTCTCCCTATCTCCCTATTTACACTTTCTGCTTATTTACTACCTCTTTGTTTCCCTATTTTGTGTATACCGCTTTTTTCACTTTTTTTTCTAGTCCTCTTTATCTACCTCTCTTCCTTCTTCACTCTCTCTCTCTCTCTCTCTCTCTCTCTCTCTCTCTCTCTCTGTTTCCTCGCTACTTGTCTCTCCCTGTCTTCCCTTTGATATTACCTGTTTCTATATCGTTGTTCTCTCGTTGTCTTGTTGTCTGCCTGCTGTCTCGTTGTTGTCTCGTTGTTGTCTCGCTGTCGTCTCGCTATTATCTGACTGTTGTCTCGTTGCTATCTCGCTGTTTTCTGGCTGTTGTCTCGTTGTTGTTTCGTTGTTATCTGGCTGTTGTGTCGTTGCTGTCTCGCTGTTATCTGATTTTAGTCTCGTTGTTGTCTCGCTGTTATCTGATTTTAGTCTCGTTGTTGTCTAGTTGCTGTCTCGCTGTTATCTGGCTGTTATCTGGCTGTTGTCTCGCTGTTATTTCGCTGTTATCTGGCTCTTGTCCTGCTGTTGTCTCGCTGTTATCTGACTGTAGTCTCGTTGTTGTCTCGTTACTGTCTCGCTGTTATCTGACTGTTGTCTCGCTGTTATCTCGCTGTTATCTGGCTGTTGTCCCGCTCTTGTGTCGCTGTTATTTGGCTGTTGCCTCGTTGTTGTCTCGTTGTTGTCTCGTTGTTGTCTCGTTTCTGTCTTGCTGTTATCTGGTTGTCATCTGGCTGTTGTCTCGCTGTTATCATGTTGTTGTCTAGTTGCTGTCTCGCTGTTATCTGGCTGTTGTCTCGTTGCTGTCTCGTTGCTATCTGGCTGTTGTCTCTTTCTTGTCTCGCTGTTATCTGGCTTTAGTCTCGTTGTTGTCTCGTTGCTGTCTCGCTGTTAACTGGCTGTTGTCTCGTTGCTGTCTCGCTGTTAACTGGCTGTTGTCTCGCTGTTGTCTCGCTGTTGTCTCGCTGTTATATGGCTGTTGTCTGGCTGTTATCTGGCTGTTGTCTCGCAGTTGTCTCGCTGTTATCTGACTGTTATTTGGCTGTCGTCTCGTTGCTGTTTCGTTGCTGTCTCGCTGTTGTCTCGCTGTTGTCTCGCTGTTATATGGCTGTT